TGGGGTCTAGTTCTTGATAGACGGTGTCTAGAATTCGAGCTAGACCTCGTGGAATCGCGCCAAGACCGAGAGCTCGAACGTAAGGAACTTCACCGAGACCTCGAGTAACTGGGATTCGCGCCGAGGTTTCGGGTGGTGTCTAGGGTATTGCGTAGGACGTGAAATCGGGGCGAAACCGTGTTGTGAGTCGATGCCCGAATCGAGAGTTCGAGCGTGAGAGACTGCGCCGAGACGGAGAGCTCTAGCGTAAGAAGTTGCATCGGGACCACGAGTAACTGGAATTTGTACCGAGGCCTAGGGTGAGGCGATGCCCAGATCGAGAGCTCGGGCGTGAAGGATTGCACCGAGACCGAGAGCTCGGGCGTAAGAAGCTGCACCGAGACCACGGGTAATTGGAATTTGTACCGAGGCCTAGGGTGAGGCGATGCCCGGACCGAGAGCTCGGGCGTGAACGATTGCACCGAGACCGAGAGCTCGAGCGTAAGAAGCTGCACCGAGACCACGTGTAGTTGGAATTTGTGCCGGGGCCTCGGGTGAGGTGGTGCCCGGACCGAGAGCTCGGGTGTAAGATGTTGTACCGAGACCTATGTTGGCGTAGCTTTCCATGTTGGCCCTGGCGGTTACAGGCCCAACGTTTATTAAATCTGGACCGTTGGATACTTTCGATCGAGCGGTTAGGGTTTGAGGACGCCTGTTCAGTTTCCTCGTTTTACCTCGCCTATAAATAGAGGGGGGAATTGTGGAAATTCACTCGCTGTAAATTCTCCGAGCTCTCTCGAATTCAAGCGTCGACCGAAACGTCCGAGCAAAGGTAAATTTTATATTCGTTAATTCATAATAATAAATGGATAGGGGCTATTCGTCGGCAAGGAGTTGCTCGTCGTCAGGCGAGTCGGACGCCTCGTCAGGTATGGAGGGATTGGACTCGAGTGAGGTACCCAGGTTGCCCTTACTGCAATGTGAAGTGGTGTTTCCGTCCGATCACCTCGATGAAGATGATAGCGGGGATGAAGTGGTGGAGGTATCGCCTCCGGCGACTGTGGCCGTGGCTTTGGCTCGCGCTACTGAAGTTGAGTGTAGGGGTTTGGCGCAAACCGATCAACCGAGGCCCCACACTGTAATCGTTCCTACCGAAGGCCATGGGGGTGGGCTGGAAGCGGTTGCGGAGAACCGAGGCAAGGTCCTCGCCAGCCCGACTGTCCGGTCGAAGCCAAAAGTCGACTATGGTAGCGTGGAAATGCCAGGATATGAGTGGGTGGCCGGAGAAGTCGGTATATACTTCTCGAAGTTTTCCGGCTGAACATCGACTTTGTGTTTTTGGAGGCGGGTCCCGGCAAAGACGACTACTTCTATGCGTACGTTTGTTGGTTCGGTGACCTCGGCATAGAACTGCCCTTTGACGATTTTCAGATGGGGGTTCTCTGGACACTAAACGTGGCGCCGACCCAATTGCACCCTAATGCTTGGGCGGCCATGTAAGCCTTTCGGAATTTGTGCCTATGTCTCGGCCTCACGCCTCGGCCGCTCGCCTTCCTCTATTATTACACCTGCCGCCCGAGCAAACCGGTAAAGTGGGTTTCCTTAGCTCGGGTGCCAAAACGTGGATTCCTTCGGGCTTTCACCTCTTCTTACAAGGGATTTAAAAGTGGCTTTTTTAAGGTCCGATGGGGGTTGGAGATGCGGGATTGCTTTTACGACCGAGAGAACAACCCGCTATTTCCCTTCTATTGGACGAGGCGTCCGACACGTTTTGAGGCTTTCCCTGCCTCAAAACTCCCCGCCGAGGACAAGGAGATTGTGGATTTGCTAGACCAGTTGCCGAAAGAGCTTCCTGTCCGAGAACTATTGGAAATTTTTGAGACGTCTCATTTTGAGATGGTCTTGCTAGGTATGTGTATTAGGGTTCGGTTGTTTAATCAATTTTTAAATTGATGTTAAACTTTGCTTTACTGCAGGATTGATGGCCGGAGGCAAGTTGGATGTAACTGCGATGCTCGCCAAGAGGGCGAAGGAGGCTAAGGAGAGTGGGAAGGTGCCGCCGGCGAGGTCGGCCCTCAGGGTTCAGCGGGATAAACCCACGCAAGTTCTCATTCCCTTGGCCGACCCCAAGAAACGGGGGAGTACATCTCGGACCCGGGCTGCTGAGCAAGACATCGAGCCGGAGCGTCCGAGCTCTTCTTCCAAACGGCCGAAACAACTGTCGTTGGAACAGTCGGGTTGTGGGGCCTTCGCCATTCCTGCTGTGGTGGCCCGGGCAA